AAAGCATTTACTCAGCATTCAACTCTCACTGCACATAGGAGCATTCATGCTGCAGAGAAGCCTTTCAAATGCAGAGAATGTGGTAAAGCCTTTATTCAACGTTCATATCTTACTAGACATGAGTTAATCCATACTGGACAGAGGCCTTACAAATGTAGAGAATGTGGTAAAGCCTTTACTCAGCGTTCATTTCTTACTAGGCATGAGAGAATTCATACTGGAGAGAAGTCATTACTCACCATTTACAGTTTACTCAACACATAAAAATTCATAATGGCGAGAAACCTCATAATTGAAGAATCCAAGAAAACCTGCAGCTGGACCTACAGCCTCACTCAATATTAGAGAATGCTTACTGCGGACAAATTACATTCAAAATCAACAATGAAAACCCTTTGTTCAAAATATAAACTTCAGAAAATCCACATAATTCATGCTCCAAAGTGACTTTAAAGATGTAAAATAATGTGAGAAAATGTTTACTCCGAAATGAAATCTGAAATATCAAAGAATTGACATTACAAAGCAGCCAGTACAGAACAGTTTTCAGATATTACTTTAAATCAGAATACATATAGAGAATAAGCAAATGTTAAGAAACTTGTGAATATGTTTGAAAGTATACAAGGGGTTGGATGTTGGAAACATAATTTTTTACAATGAGTGTTTATATATTGATAGTACTTGAGGTTTGTTGAAAAGGAAATGTTAATGTGATCCCAGTGATGTCACTTGATGCTATGCTTTTTTAATCCTAGTGTGTGTGAATCATGGGTTGTTTGTTGCTGTCATCTGAGAGCCCTTGTATGTTCAGTGGGATTCACTCAGAAATACTTTTCCCTGGAAGTCTGAGGGCACTAATACACAATGTATGATGAAAATCTAAATGGAGATGCTGTTTGGTTGATTTAGAATGTTGATGTAAGTCATTGTGAAGTAGGTGTTCAGAGCATCATTCTCTACATTTATGTGAGACAGGAACATTCTGAATTTTCATTAGTTTTACCAGTTGCTCTTTCAGGAAAATAAGATGGTGGTTTTTGCAACACTGATGTATCTTTTTAGTAGCCATAGATAGGAGTGCTGAATATTACCAGATGTGGTTGAAATAAAGAAGTCTTCGGAGATATCTGAGAAAGTACAGACAACTCATGCCTAAGTGCATAAATTATTGTACACCTTGTTTTCTAAAAAATGAGCTTTGATCTTCAAATACATGGAAAACAGCTGTAAAGTCATTATATCAGAACAACCAGAATGCTTCTTAAATGCTTGTTATCTATATTTTGAGCATGGATCTTACAGGTGGTTTGCCATCCTTTATTTAGACTGTGTGTGAACTTATATTTACATTAATAATGATTTTTAATGATTTTTAATGTATTAATAGTGATGTGTAATGAATGACTTGTTATCCTGCCACCAACGTTGACCTCTCCCACCTTAGTCACGGTTGGAATAAAAAACGTACTATTTGGTGATGCAGTAGAATGACAGCACAAGTGATCCTTTCCCCCGAGGTTTTAATTTGCAAATGGAAAGAGAGCCTTGCTGTCTGGAATGCTAAAGAAACACTATTTAAACTAAAGTAAAGGTAGGTGCCTCATTAGCGCAGTAGGTAGCGCGTCAGTCACATAAACTAAAGTAAAGGTTAGCAGACATGGGAGCTACATGTAGCTTGAAATGTGCATGAAGCAGTCATTTTCTTGTGGTTAGATTCATATTATAATTCACTTTCCCCCAATGATAACAGGATAGGTGATGTGTTCATATATGTGCATCAGACAGCCGACACCAATTTGTCCCATTACAGCTGGTGTTACCTTCATCCAGTTGATTCAGGCTGTGTTTCCCATTTTTGTATAATATTAACGGTTTTCCTATTTCCCTAGTAAGAATTTGGGGGTATCTTCTGAGTGTTGTGTATAAAGAACGACATTTACTCTAGAAACTTTTTTCTTCCACGTTTGTCTTTGCTTGATTTTGCTTTAGAACATGAAGGCTCTGACCTTTGTTTATTACAGATACTGGTTTTACAACTGGAGGTTCTAAGTCACTCAGCCTCAGGCCTGTACGTTTTCCTTTTATTCCAAAGTCATGTCAGCCAGACTCGTACCCTTCTATAGGGTGCCGGAGGTCTGCAGTAAGGGTTAAGCCTGAGAACTGGAGGTCTGCTGTAAGGGTTAAGCCTGAAAGTTGGCAGGCTGACAGACTCTCAGCCCCGGGTGAGCAGCGTGGGAAGGTTCGCCACTGAGGAGAAAACAGCCAACGGCCTTGAAAGCTACAGAGTGGAATGTCATCCTGTTAACAGTTTCTGCCTCTTATACTTTGTTTTGTCTTGCTTCGGAAAGATTGCTTCCAAGAAATTTGTTCCCTGAGAGGAGGGGGCTGCTCCCTCAAGGTCCCAAAAACCCCTTACCCTAGAAAAGTTGCTTTTGCTGTAAAAGCTGTATACAAATAATAAACGGGGCCACTCTCTGCCATCAGCATTGGGTGGACCTCCTGTTCCCAGCTTTCGTCTCTAGTCTCTTTCTTTTCCAGTCTCCCACCCAGTCCTCTCAGGTACCCTTTCGATGGGTTCCTGGCCAACGAGTCAGGAGCGCTTCATTGGTGTGTGGGTCGCATGAAAGTGGCGCACCAACAGGGACCTGAGCACGAATGAAGGCAGTCATAAGAGAGGAGACCCCCTACAGGGAGGTGTGCGCCGCTTCGGAGAAGGTAGGGGCAAATCAGGGTGCAGTATAGGGAGGAGCAGAACTGATCAATCTGGTATCCCTATATATAATTTCAGGCAGGAGGAAAACATTAGGCAAGTCAGAACCAACAGTCCATTGTACATAAAGGGCCATCAGCCTATTTGTAAATAGGGTCAGCAGCCCATATAGACATAGAAAATATGGGACAGTCAGGGTCAAGGGACCATCAGCTTTATTTGCAGTTGCTTAGATCTATGCTGCAGGCTCGTGGCAGTCCCGTTAAAACGCATCAGTTAGAAGATTTTCTTGCTTATATACAGGACACCTGTCCTTGGTTTCCAAAGGAGGGAATTCTTGATTCTAAAATCTGGGAAAACGTTGGCGTACAGCTCCGAGAGCATGGGCCCGGGAAGTTCTCTGGTGACATACTTTCATTTTGGGAGTTGGTATGCGACAGTCTCGATCCCAGTCTGGAGGCTTCCTATCCCCCAGAAACACAGTCTCAGCCTATAGTAGAAAGACTTAGTAATGCTGTCTGGGAGTTTGAGGAGGCCAGATCGCGAGAGAAACAGACATTAGCCTGAGAAAAACAGAGATATAATACCGAGCCAGAGGACGCTTTTGAGGAGGAAGAGTAGAGGTCCCTAAGGAGGAGGGGCTGGCCCTCATCGCTTGGAACGCCTATCGTCCAGGCAAAGGCGTCCCGCCCCCCAGGACCTGCCGCCATCTGCGCAGCGGCAGCAGCAGCCTGTTTTGCAGCAGCTTGTCAAATATGTCTCAGCCTCTAAGAAGAGGATCCCGGAGTTAAGTGTACTCTGTGGGTTAAGGCAGGCTGTGGAAAGAGGCGAGGATATTGGGGAGTATCAACAATTTTGCTTTGCAGTAGTAGAACGTCCGGACCCTAATAATCTGAGGCAGGTAATTAGGGAGCACGAGCCTATCCCTTTTAAGACGCTTAAGGAATTCAAAGCCTCGACTGCCCAGTATGGGCCTACTGCTCCTTTCACCTTAGCGTTACTTGAGACCATTTCTACAAACACATTCCTTACTCTAAAAGATTGCATAATGATAACTAAGGCTTCTCTAACTGGAGGGGATTATTTGCTCTGGAAAACGGAGTTTGTTGACCAGTGCGAGCAGCAGGCAGAGCAAAATGCTGCCCACCAGATACCTGTCACAGCTGAGATGCTTAAGGGAGAAGGAAATTATACAGGCATAAATAATCAAGTAGCATATCCTCCGATAGCCTATCAACAGATTATTTCTTGTGCTACTAGGGCCTGGAGGACACTTCCTACCACAGGGGCAAAGACAGAGGAGCTGACTAATGTAAGACAGGGCCCGGACGAGCCATATCAGGACTTCGTCTCCCGGCTCCTACCGGCCATAGATCAGCTCATCAATGACCCAGGGGCCACACAGCTTCTTGCCAAACAACTAGCATTTGAGAATGCCAATTCTACTTGTAAATCTATAATACAGCCTTATAGAAAGAACACTAATGTTTCAGATTTTATCTGCCTTTGTGGAGATGTAGGGCCGTCATATCCAGGGCAGTGCTCTTGCCATGGCACTACAAAAGGTTTTCAACCCAAAGCTGCAACAAAAGAGGGAGAGAAATCGTAAGGAGGAAGTATGCTATTCTTGTGGGCAGGCAGGCCATTTCCCTAGGGAGTGTCCTAATAAAACTCCCCAGGTGGAGTCTGGACGCTCACCTCAGATTTGTCCTAGGTGCAGGTGTGGAAAACAGTGGGTAAAAGGTTGTAGGTCTCAATTTGACATCAATGGGCAATGGGGCCAGTCCCGGCCCCGCCAAATAATGGGGGCTTTAACCCTTGTGCCCCAGTACCAGTAGACAGCCAGCAATCACTTACAGCCCCAATGTCCAGGAACAACCCGTTCTACAATCTTGGGGACAGCCAACATGGTGCACTATACAACTATACCACGCCACCCCAGGGAGCACAGAACTGGACCTATCCCTCCTCCAGGTACATATTGACCCCGCAAATGGGTCCACAGGCCATCCCCACTGGAGTTTATGGCCCTTTGCCGCCTAATACAGTGGGGCTCCTTCTTGGCTGGAGTAGCTGGACCATAAAAGGACTTCAAGTCTTCCCTGGAGTCATAGATTCTGATTATACAGGAGAAATAAAAATTATGTCTGGGGCTATTAGAGACATCATTCAGGTCCTCTCCACAGACAGAATAGCACAAATAGTACTTATTCCCACTGTAACAACAGGTAGAACCGCCTCTCAGCAGGCGCAAGGGTCCCATGGCTTCGGGTCCTCAGATGCATTTTGGGTCCAGAGAGTAGGGCAAGAACGTCCCATTTTAAATTTAACTATAGAAGGAAAAGCATTTCACGGTCTCATTAATACAGGAGCTGATGTATCTGTAATTTCCAAACAGCATTGGCCTGTAGAGGAGGCTTTAACTAGACCCCAGGGCATAGGGATGAAAACAGGACCTTTACAAAGTTCCAAAGTGTTAACTTGGAGAGACCTTAAAGGACACTCTGGAACTTTTACTCTATTCATCCTTGAGGGTCTCCCAGTTAACCTCTGGGGACGGAACATTTTAAGTCAAATGTCAGTCATGATTTATAGTCCTAGTTCCTCAGCCACTAATATTATGTTCAATCAGGGGTACATTCCAGGCCAGGGATTAGGCACATCAGGGCAGGGCAGACTTGAGCCCATACAAACTATTCCTAAGACTGACGGATCAGAACTAGGGTATCAAAATTTTCCCTAGGGGCCTTGGTATCTCCTGCAGCCCTCTCCAAGTTATTTAAGATCAAATGGCTTACAGAGACACCAGTATGGGTTGACCAATGGCCCTTAACTCAGGAGAAACTTCAGGCA